ATTTTACGTGCGTAACTGATCATGCGGCATTGCGATATCTTTATACGATTCAAGACATNAAAATCATCCAGCACATGTATCCAACAGCAATGTTCGCAGACTCACGTACAAGTGGGAGCAGGAGCATTCCTGGCACAACAGAACGGCGATGACGTGAATATCGTAGCATACTTTAGCCAGCGATTCAACAAAAGCCAACAACACTACTCTTCCACCATGAGAGAATGCTATGCTGTTGTTCTAGCAATTCAACACTGGCGTCCTTATGTTGGGGTAGACATTTTACGTGCGTAACTGATCATGCGGCATTGCGATATCTTTATACGATTCAAGACATGTCAAATATGCTCACTAGATGGGCAATAGCACTGCAATCCTTCGAGTTCACGGTAAAACACAAACCGGGAAAGTTGCATGTAGTGCCAATACGTTATCGCGACTTTTCGTGTTCGATAATGAACAAGAAACGAACTGCGCCGAACCTTGCACCGATTTGCCGAAATGTACCGGACGATCCAAAGCTGCAACAACACATCCTAAACAGACCATACCAAGTCTCGACTGACAGATTCGATGATGTGCAACCAGTCCTTAGTGATTGGGAATTATTCACAGTCAATTCAAATTTCATCAGCGCCACGGAGGTGTTTGAATCTGTTAAGCATGAGAAATTGCGCGACAAACAAGTCGAAGAATACGGCGAATATGTCCAATACATTTTAGACGCCAAAGCACCGCTACCAGACAACGAAACGGCAACATCAATGTCGTACTATTCCATACAAGACGGTTTACTGTTTAAATCGTATCTGCCAGGACACCTACGAAAACGAAGCACTTTTTGTGATCAACTTGTAGTCCCACATGACCTCACCGGTTTAGTGATGCACGCATACCATGATCACGCTCTTTCAGGTGGACACCTCGCATTTCGTCCAACGTACGAAAAAATACGACAAAAATATTGGTGGCAGTCAATGAACCGTGACATCCGGACTTGGTGCCTAGAATGCCAGGCCTGTCAACGGAGAAAGACATCCCACCGCCGTCCGAAACTGCTGACGGGTCACGTACCTGTACAGCGGCCGTTTGAAAGGGTATCAGTCGACCTAGTCGAGTACAAATCATTCTCAATGTCAGCAGTCGGAGTGAGATGCAAATACGTGCTTTCCATGATGGACCACCTGACGCGCTATGCCATTCTCACACCAGTTCCAAACAAAACTGCTGAAACCGTAGCACGTGTAATCACTGATTGGATGATCAGTATCTTTGGCCCGCCTGAAATGCTGCAGTCTGATCAAGGCACTGAATTCGAAAACAAGATAATCTATCAGTTGCAAACAATCTTGGGCTACAAGAAAACACGCACGACGCCGTATCGTCCGCAAGGTAATTCGGTCTCTGAGCGTGTGCATTCAACGATGCATTCCATGCTCGCAATGCATAGCTCCATGAATCGTGACAACTGGGCGAATCTCCTGCCTATGGTTCAACTAGCGTATAATACGTCGTTTCATATTACCATGCATGAGACAACGTACGTCTTGATGTTCGGTCGCCAAGCACGGTTACCTGTAGATGGAATTCTCGGAATCCCACATGTAGGATCAACTGCAGATACCGAGAGTTTTGCTCAAAAAACACGAGAAAATCTACAAATTGCTTTCGAATTAGCGCGAAGACACCTCACGGAACGTGCAGAGGAGCAAGCTGCGAAAAACGAAAAGTTACCGCAGTACCCCGTCTTTACACCTGGTCAACAAGTACTCGTATACCGACCACACCAGGATATAGATGGACCAAATCCGAAGCTGTTCTTACCGTGGCGAGGACCATATACCATCTGCTCACAACTGTCGCCAGTTGTGTATAGGGTGAAGCGAGTCGATGTAACACGAGAAATATCCGGGCATCTTGCCCATCTAAAACAGCACAGTGGGGGCTACGGTTTAAGATAGCTCAGTTTCAGAGAATTGCCGATTTAAGAGAGGTCAAAATTGCTAGACACACCCCTCTCTTAAACCGAACCCCGAATCTCTTATACCTCTCCTAAGGGCCGTTTTAAACGGACCGACTTTTTGTCAAAATTTTTGAAAGTGTCAAAAAATGGAACCTGTATGTAGGCGTTTGTCCATTTTTTTCAAAAATATTTGGAACGAAGTTGGGCGCGAAAACTTTGCTCCACTTCGTTCGAACTTTTTGACAACCCANTCAAAATTGCTAGACACACCCCTCTCTTAAACCGAACCCCGAATCTCTTATACCTCTCCTAAGGGCCGTTTTAAACGGACCGACTTTTTGTCAAAATTTTTGAATAAAGACAAATGTCGAAAATTTCGACAAAAAAGTCGGTCCGTTTAAAACGGCTTTAAACCTCTCTTAAACCGAACCTGCCCCCCCACCCCTCACCCCCTACATACATACTACGTATATACATACGACGTATAGCCCACCAGCTGCCCCCCACTGCAGCAGTAGGCCATCATAGCTAGCGAGACACACAGCTCCCACGGATGCCTTGCGCCGCGGGTTCCCGTTGCCTGGCAACGCCGGACCACACACCCGGCCCCCCACTGTTTACGAACCACCCATGCCGTGTCTGCGGAGGCTACCTTTATGGACTGTGCGGTGTGCATGACCTGCTTGGCGACAACGAGATGCACCGTGTTTGCCACGGATGTGTCAACTCGAGCAACCGCAAGGAATCAAGCACAGACTCGACTGCTGGGGCTGCATCTTCGAAGCGCCCCTGCCCGGACGGGCGGGCAACGGAGAAGGAGAAGCGAGCGGGTGCACTGGGCAGCTTGGAACCCGTTGGCAACACCGCACATAAGAAAGTTCGTGGCGCCGAAAACCGCAAACGACCGACGCTCGAAGACAAGGTTCGGGCGCTCGACCTTTTGAAGAGCATGAGCGGCGTTGCAATCGCGAAGGATATGGGGATCGGGGTGAGCACCTTGTACGGGTGGAGAGCTAAGGAAGCAGACATCAGACAACAGGCAGCAGTCTCCATGCCCGGCGCCAAGTCTACGAAGGAGGCTGAGTTTGCGTAGGTGGGTGCTCGGCTATGTTTGCTGTACAGCAGTACACAGCAGAGTACAGCAGTAATTCCGAGTGTATTTTGATTTTGTTTTTTAATTTTTAATTTTTCTTGTAATGAGCCGAGGAGCGAGCGAAGCGAGCGACATTTTTTCCCTTCGTTCCCAGGAGGGAAAAAAAGGCTCTGTTTATCGACCTAAGTTGCGCCGCGCGATACAAGGCCCCCAAAACTTGAATACGGGGAAGCCTATTTAGCACACCTTTGGGACCAGAACGAGATCTATAGGGCACCGAGTGACGATATGTTTGCTTCTGAGAAGGAAGAAAAATAGCGCACTCTTCTCCACACCGGTTTTGCGGTGCTCCGAGAGCAGATGGCCGTGCTTCAACGGCACATGTAGCCTATATTCGTAGGAGATTTTGCTCCCCAACCCCGGGGTTTCTACGCGAAAAGGTGTGCACAAAAGCGGAGATCGCGCGCGCGCGCGATTTAAACCAGGACAAAAATCACCGACAGAGACGCAAGAACCCCACCAACAAACGCGTCACCGCTGAGAAGCTGGTCTGAGACCAGCTATGAAAACCAGGAGGGGCCGGGCCTATACGACCTGTGTACCGTGGGTATACTGTAGGCATGCGCCATGCGTAACCTGGCGGGTGTGTATTGATGTTGAGTGCGTCCAACCAACAGCTTCAAAAAGAGCAGACGATGATCACACAAATAACACACTTTCCCATAAGTCCAGCTCACACATACCATCATCGAGAGAATCCGTCGAGGGCGTGAGGGTCTACTACTGCTGCTGCTGTGCGTTGTCAGGATGGTTCATCGCGGGATTAGCTCAGATTGCGTACTTGCGCCGCGCCACTGACTGTCTTTCCAAAGAAAGCCGTGCCCTGCATGCCGTTGTTGCTGCTGCAGGGCTGCATCAGGGCCTTCTCGGCCTCTCGCATCGAACTCATGACGTCACATCACCATCAATGGCTTTGTTGTTTTTTGTTGATTTTTTGTTTATGCTCGACTGCTTGCTTTCACTTGAGCCGGAAACTCGGCAGGCTTGAAACGAATGTGGCGGGCAAGTTGTGAGCCTGACGCAATACTTGCCATCTGTCGTGTTACAATCCTATCTCTACGCTGCTGGTCGTGCTCCTCCACGGTGTGATGCGTGATACGCTCGCCGCCAGGGATGCCGCATGTATGTACAATGTATGCTTCTTCCTGATGCCCAGCAGATGCGCACCACGCGGCTCATTACCCCCCCATATCTAGTACAAGCAGGGGTCGTGTACAGCAGTTTATTAACAGTTCTTGTGTACATTACTGCTGTACCACTACAGCAGCAGCAGTAGCTTCATTCCGAGTATGTTTGTGGCCGTTTTTGTTCAGCAACCGGCTAGTGTGGCGTAGGTACGCTGTATCATGCCGTGCAGTATTTGCTGTAGGATGAAATGATATACAGCAGAGCAGTAACAGCAGTGCACACACTACAGCTGCTAAATCCATGAATGATGTATGTCCTCTTTTCTTCTCCAGGTGGAGCAAGTAGTCATGGAAATGTTGGTGCAGGCGGGGGCACTGAGAATGCCTGTCAACCGGGACGCGATCCAGGCATTCGGGCGCAAAGCTCGTCGTGCTCTCGAGAACGCAGCATCTACGGACGCCGAGCGTGTTCAGAACAGCAGCTTCAACGCGTCCGAGGGGTGGGTAAAGAAGTTGGTCAAGCGCAACAATCTGCACTCCCGTACACTTGACGGCGAAGCAGGCAGCGTCGACGACGAAGCCATCGCCAATCGCCTCAGAGTAATCCGCGAGACGTGCGCTCAGTATGCCTCAGAATGCGTCTACAATNAAAGCTCGTCGTGCTCTCGAGAACGCAGCATCTACGGACGCCGAGCGTGTTCAGAACAGCAGCTTCAACGCGTCCGAGGGGTGGGTAAAGAAGTTGGTCAAGCGCAACAATCTGCACTCCCGTACACTTGACGGCGAAGCAGGCAGCGTCGACGACGAAGCCATCGCCAATCGCCTCAGAGTAATCCGCGAGACGTGCGCTCAGTATGCCCCAGAATGCGTCTACAATGCCGACGAAACCGGGCTGTGCTACAGGATCATGCCCAAGGCTACATACCTCGCACCATCAGAGCTCAAGAAGACCGTACGAGGCGTANCCTGCACTCCCGTACACTTCACGGGGAAGCAGGCAGCGTCAACGACGAAGCCATCGCCGATCGCCCCAGAGTTGTCCGCGAGACGTGCGCTCAGTATGCCCCAGAATGCGTCTACAACGCCGACGAAACCGGGCTGTGCTACAGGATCATGCCCAAGGCTACATACCTCGCACCATCAGAGCTCAAGAAGACCGTGCGAGGCGTAAAAGGTATGAGAGCGAAGGATCGAGTCACCGCCTACATGGCTACGAGCGCCAGCGGGCGTAAGGTGCCGCTGTCTTTTATCGGCACACCCAAGAGCCCCGGTGCTTCAAGATCCGGGGCTCACCCATCCAGTACTTAAGCCAGAAGAAGGCGTGGTCGGACGCGCGAGTGTTCAAGCTGTGGTGGTCGCAAGTGTTCCTGCCACACGTGCGCTCCGTCACCAGCGAGAAGGTTCTTCTCATCATGGACAACCACAGCAGCCACGCCGACCTCGTAGACCCCAAGGAGCAGGTGAAGATTCTTGAGCTGCCACCCAACTGCACGAGAAAGCACCAGCCTATGGATGCCGGGATCATCGCAGCCTGGAAAGTGCGGTACAGAATGAAGCTGCTGGGGATTCGCGTCGACACGATGACGTCGGCGGCGCAGCTACGGGAGCAGGCGAAGGAACGCAAGGTGATTTGGGGCTGCATGGGGCTCGCGGAAGGAGCGCAGCCTCACAGCCTGGACGCAGCTGAGCTAGACCTCGAGGCGTGGAAGGAAGTTTTGCCGGAGACAATCAAGAGGTGTGTCCGTGTGGTGGTGTTCACGACACTATTCAATAACTGCTGTATAATTTCCCCCCTCTAGACACATACCGTTACCACGTATATTGCACGTTAACGAAGTTGTTAACTTGCGCCATCATCTTGCAAGTTTTGTTTGAATTGAAAAAATGATAAGATGCTTTTTGTTCGTTCGGCTCGTTCTTTCTTTTCCTTTTCTCGCCGTGCACGTTTCTCTCTCCTTCCCGCGTACTTTGACTTTTCATCGTTTCCAAGGTGCTGGAGGAAATGTGACATCCTTCCTCCTGCGGTGCACGCGGACCTCGACCAGGACGTGGGAAAGAATATCCGCAACAAGAAGGAGAGTCTCGAAGAGTTGACGGACTTGGTGCAGCGTCTTTCTCTTGAGGCGAAGACGACAACTGTCGATGAAGACCTTGGCGAGGCGCTTAAGGGTCTGGGGTTGGCACCTGGTGCAACGCCAACCCGGGCTTCCATGGAAGCCGTGCAGACATGGTTGCGTGTAGAGCAAAAAGAGGGTGTAGCGGAGGCGATTATTAAAGATCTGAAGGACGATCTTTGTGAGGAGTCGCTTGCCCACCTGAACATGGACCAACTGAGCATAGACTCGGACGACGACGAGGCCGACTTTTCAGCGGGAGACGAGGGACAGTGTACGCAGCCCCTGGTCTCTCCCCGTCCGCCAACATACGCTGACGTATCTAGGCAGTTCGGAGACCTCGAAGAAATAGCAGAGAGGTGCAGCATGGCCGGGGTTGCTTACCATCTTCGCAAGGCGAAAGTAGCCTGGATGAGCGAGGCTGGGTCAAAGAAAACGAAGCAAACATGCATGGCAGACTTCATGTAAAGTTGCAGAAGCTGCCCACAGACGATGTTCATGGACGTCTGTTTTTTTTTTTTTTTAAGGGTAGGGTGCACTACTTGTACTGCTGTAGGTGCTTGAGTCACTGGTCTTGAGTGTTTTGTGTGTGTGATGCTCACGTCTCTGTGTTCTGTTGGCAGCTATCCTATGATATGCACTGCTGTTTGTCGAGATGCGGTCGGAGTACACCTTGTAGACCACGTCAAAGTTACATCGGTTGTGCTTCGTACACAAGAAGGAGGGATCACGCCTGGTGAGGGCCCTATAACGCACGAAAATATTGTGGAAAACAAAAAAAAAATACACTTCATCACTTCCATCATGTTAGACCCTGTAAGAGATTTTCTCTTAAACCGTATTAAGAGAAGGTCGTGTTTAAGAGAGGTCTTCTCGGTGATGCACACCCCTCTCTTAAACCGTAGCCCCAACTGTACCATGAAAGGGAGAAACCACCAGCACCACAATTTGGAGAACTGGCGGAATATTTCCTTGGGAAACAAATTCCCCTACCTGCCCTGACAGCAAAGGACGGAAATCAACCGAAAATTGAAAGATACGTCGTTCTGAAAGTAGTAGGGCATCGAAGCGGTCAAGGCCGAAAAGGTCCCCACAACTATCGATGTCGTCTACGACTGAAAGGATACGGTCCTGAGGGTGGGTCCTACGTAATTTTTGGAAAAGTCGACCATCGAACATCGAACAAGCGGATAGTTCGAAGTTCGACTTTTTGGGTCCTTTGAAATTTGCAAAAAAGCGTGAAAAAAAATCCCACACACACACGTTTTTGCGTTCAACAGCCCGCGTTGTTTGACCACGCCCGGAAAACCCAAGGGCACTCGACTCTCGAAAAGATACGAGTGTCGAGGAACAGGGACGGCGCCAGGAGGAGGAGCACAAGAAGCAGCCCCACCAGCAAAAACAGCACCGGTTGATAGTAGCTAGCGCTCGAAGCCGCGGGGTGGAACCCCGGCATCCCTTGCGGCCTGATGCCCACATGCATTGCCGCGGGACCCTGCCGACTCACACCAACACTGCTGCAACTGTTTGGCTGTCCAGCAATGCTGTATGGTTGCGACGGGAAGGAACCCCCGTGTGATTAACCTCACACCTGGCCCCGTTTGTGCACGCGGGGTCCTGGGATCCAGCGCAAACTCGTCGTCGCTCTGTGCAGACATGGGTATTGCTGTTGCTGTCCTGCAAACCTCTCCGTCGTTCTCCCTCTCCCCGAGATTGTGTTTTTTGGTGGTGTGTGTTGGGTGCACGTGCGTGATGCATGCGTGCGGGTTTTCTTTTTTGTCGCCAATTCGGTCCCAATAGTCCACGGGACTGTAGGTTAGGTATAGGTTTTCGAGTTTTTGTGGAAAGATGTTAGAGTTTTAGGCGGAATCGCCCCTGGAAGATCCGGCGTACAAAAACTCGAACACCCTAACATCTCTTTGGGCTCTTCGACCTTCCTACCCAATCACATGATTACGCCGCTTGTTCGATGTTCGATGTTCGAGTCCGAAAAAATTACGTAGGACCCACCCTGAATCAGATCTGATGTATCGTGCCGACGAAGTGCCGCAATGCCACGAAATGATTTCCGCGTACAGATCAAAACATGATCTGGACATCGCGCCCGCCAAGAAATCGTCCGAAGTGCCGCAGAAAAAAGCGAAACGAAAACGCGACGAAGGTAGGGATTCGAGTACAAACAAACGCGCAAAGCACAAGCAAGGCCAGTCTGACACGTTGTGTCCCAGCCAGCAAAATGCGAGAATAAGAAAAGCACTCAGCGGAAAAGTGAACGAAGTCCGAAGGCAAACAAAAGGTACATTTCCAAAGTATCTAAACAACGGTGAAAGGAATAGCATCCAACCAATGAGGTTGCTATCCAGCATTTGGTTGGGTCAAATGCTGGCGAGGAAATGTCAAGTTAACCGGTCTTAAGTGGAATTGAGGGTCGCAACTCGATGACACTACTCACGAGTCACGAAAACAGTCTTAAGACTGTCGAACACCGTATGCCTATCGTACTCAATAAGCAACACGATTGCTTACATCCAGCGGTATGGTTACGCGAACCAGAACCCGCACAAGGTACAAATTCTTGATACTTAACAAGAATAAGCTTTGACACATCATTGATTGACATCAATACATGGTAGCTTGTACGAGCCTTGGAGAGATTAAATCCGTACGGTGTTGTCTTCAACACGCGTGTATTCCACGGCACTGTCAGCTGTCTTCGGATAGTTAGGGAGAGATTTAATTTTCGAAGAACTGTATCTGGATCCAATGATGCATACATCCATACCTGCTCCACTACAAGAAACATGCAAACATGCATGCGCGCCAAAACCCAACTTCAACAAGCTGAGCTTTCGGCGAAGAAAAAGGGGGGCTATTGTTGTTGTTGTTGTTGTTGTTGTTGTTGTTGTGGTTGTTGTTGTTGTTGTTGTTTCTCACATTAGCTCTTAGTCCACAAAAAATGGGGAGCCCGTGGTCTCAAAACCCGGCACATACGACGCCGCGGGAAACAAATACAAAAATAGGGTACAAACCACTCGGAAAAAGACAACAAAATGACAGAAAGAAAATAACAGGTATCGCACCGACCGTTGGAGAAAAGCTATGTGGAGGTCAGGATATGGAGTTTTAGGGAGCACAGTTACACGCACATAAAGAGTAGGATCTGAGGGAATATGTGATAATAGATTACTGTTCTCCGAGGGTCCCCAACTCTTATGACCCCCAACGGCTGCGAAGAGTTGATGGATCTTTAGGAGAATGGGAAGGAGTCCACGAAGGCTCGCCCACTCTCCGCACCACCGTAGCTTGACTGAGTTCGTTCGGTCACGCTTGGCATTCCTCGCCACATTGCACCAAAGGAAATAGCCAACCTCCGGTGGCAGGACATAGCCACCACAACCCCGGACTCTCCGCTCACCCAGAGTAGAGGGCATCCATACAATTGTTTTTTTTTTTTTTTTGCAGCAGCGGCAGAAAGAGTCCGCTTTGTTGTGACACACATCACACATCACAGTGCTGTCACGGTTACATTGTTACGGTTGATAGGAGTTGCACCTTTGGGAGGATGCGTTATTCCCAACAGGTACTAGCAGTAAGGTCCGGTTTGCCGGGCCCCGTCTAGAGGCTAGGTTGCTCGGTCCCCTTGCCTTCACTTGCTTGACTGCTTCACTACTTCTCCTTGCTTGCCCTGAGTTAGCAATAATCAACAAGCGAATACCGTATCCACGACCGGAGACCTTCCACTCTTTGTCACAAGCCACCTTCGAGGCTTACTTCTACCGCTGTTCCGGCTCATCTGCCGAACTCGGTACCATCGAGAGGCAGCTATCATCAGGTCGGTAGCAGTGCTTGTAGGCTGGGGTCCCATGTACAATCCCCTATGGACAATTCATCTTGACACCGATGGTCTTGCCGACCAAGCGGTTCGATTTAGAGCAGGGAGCTGTAGTGGGAGTAGCTCGCGCGTTAATGTGGTGGGTTCCGGGGTCGCCTGCTTCGTGTAAGTTGGTAAACCGTAGTAAGGAGAAGGTGGCAGTCGAGGGTAGCCGNTCAGGTCGGTAGCAGTGCTTGTAGGCTGGGGTCCCATGTACAATCCCCTATGGACAATTCATCTTGACACCCAGGGTC